TAAAGCAGAAATACGAAAAAATTTGGAGAAAATCTCATCTCTTATTAGAAATAAAATTTCAACAATTCACCTAGGAGCAATAAAAATTTTGCTTAAAGCTGAATTTCAAGAAGGAATTGATACTCCTATAAAAATGGCATTAATCGATGATAGAATTAATGACAGAAAAGATTGTATCTTAGGAGCAGCAAGGGGAAATCTTGCTTATGGTAAATTTATCTTTACGGTTTATCCTAAATTTAGCATGTCTATTCAAACTGCAAATTTAGATAAAACTCTATCTTTCATTCACCATTTTGAAAGAGAAAAATTAATGAACCCTGGAGACAAAGTCTTTAGTGTTACATATGTCATAAGCTATGCTTTGACTAATAGTCATCTTAGTATAGATTATAGGAAAAAATCTTATATTGAACTAGAAGATATCTTCTCAGATATTGGTTCAGTTGAGGAAAAAACCTTCTGTGAGTTAACACCTCTAGAAGGAACACTGGGTTATTGATATTGCTAAAGGAAAAATGTTAATAGGAAATAAAAATTCTATGCATGTTAATAAAAATTCTTTGATAATAGGAGAATCAAGTAGATTATCAGTCTCAGAGAAACGCTCTCTAGCTGATATGTCAGAAAGAATAGATAATTTATCTGGTATGTTAAAACAGTTAACGGGATAAAAATCTGAAATGACAAATAGCAAAAAGCTATTGCCACTCCATGGGGGCACTACCCGTAATGGTAGGATAGAACTTACCAAAAAAAAGATGGGTTAATCCCATCAAACATATACATGGCCTTGTTATATATTTAATTTACAGCATCGTCCAAATAAACAAATAGAATGACATAGTTTTTGACAATAATTAGAGTTAATAGACCAGATTAAGTAAGAATGTTCTTTTTTCCTTCACTCATTTTAAACATGACAAAAGGTGTGTTTTTTCTTTCCTTCGTTTCTTGTTGAAGCTTTGCAATCTACATAGGATTCAAGTAATGAAAGAGGTAAAGAAAGGTGTTTTTATTAGGAGTGCTTTTATACGATCATTTAGTTCATAAAATGGCACTGAGATGGAATTAAATATGATAGTAGTGGTGAAGTGATAAAAAGCATGCATGATTAATTATTGTTAAGATGGTCAGGTTCATCAGTATTTACTAGTAATAACAAATCATAAAGAAGGAAGAAGGGAGTACTGATAGGGATTTCTGATTCTTCTTCATGCGCTTTTATTAGCAATTAGTACGATACTCGTGTACTACACGAGTACTTAAATATACTTATAGAGTGGGTGTCTCTCTTTTTATATCATTTAATAATTTAAAATATTAATTTACACAAAAATGTTTTATTTTATAAATTTATGAAACATAAAACTCTTTTATTATACTTAATTATGATATCCATTTATATTTATTATTTTAAACAATATCATTAGTTCCTTATATAATATATTTAAATCGAGAAATACTATTTTATAATATTTCTTATAATTTATTTTATGTAATACTTAATTTTCATATTTTATCCAAAATTTATAAATAAGAAACACATTAAAATAATTATTTTATGGTGTATTGATGAATTAAATTTTTATAAAATATATTTTTATTTGATACTTTATAAAGTTATTTGATAATAAAATTAATCTTTTTATAAAGATAGATGAAATTATTTTATATTTATATATGCAATATGGATGTCAAATCGAAACTCATTAAAATATGATTATTTTATTATATCATAAATAAAAAGATTAAAATATAAATAAAAAAGATATAATTTTTTAAATACAAAAAATACTAATTCATGATAATTAATATATGGATTAAATAAGAAAAGGTAAGAATGTTATATGGTAAATTTATGACAAATAAGTTTACGAAACACATGGGTCTGCCACTTAAGCTCAACGCATTCGGTGATTATATATAAGGGCGATAGATTACTTGCAGTAAAAGTTGATTTATGAAATATATAAGGTAATAAAACAATGACTCTATTAAACCCCAAACTTCGCCAATATATATGGGCCATCGTAATTATTTTCTAATATATTAAATTCAAATACCCTATCATTCCCTCATTCTCAAGAGTGACCTAACACCTTTTATTAGCTTACGAACAATAAATTTTTTATCATTCATAAAGCTCAAATATAAGAATGTAATAGCACTCTTTCTATTATTGCAATCATATTCAACAAATGTACATATTGTGACAAAGGAGGATAGGAGCCTTTGTATAATATTTGGGAAAAAATTATGTGGATATGCATAATTTACAAGTATTTACATTTATAATAATAATATATAAACGCATACGTGTTTTGATATAGTTTATTCAGTGTCAATTTTTTTTCTTTTTAAAACTTTTAGTCTTACATATTGAATTTGAAAATATTATTGTTTAAAAAAAATTAAATGCCACATTATGGTCATGTTTCGACTAAATATGTTATGTTGATTATCTAAAATGTTTGTACTCCACTTTTCTTTCATCCAAACCTTAGATTTTTAAAAATAAAATTTATATATATATATATAATTATGATGGATTTAATTATCAAACAATTACGTAGTCTACTAGCATATTTGTAATATAACGAAAAATATTATGTTAGGTTTGAATTAATTCAATGGCACACTTACATTGGTATATTATATTATGCTGCCAAAAATCTGAGGCCGAACCACATGATAAAATTTTGGCCCACTATCGATTTCATTTTCATCAAAGTTGCATGGCCACAATTGGACACTCTTTCATCTCTTCGCCTCCCACAAAATGGAGTTTCTGTTGGAATTGATAAACTAAAACGATAGTGGGGTGGGCCACAACATGACTCATTTTTGACCCAATTAATGGTCCATTTTATTGGTGTTTGGTCCTAGCTTCATTACGTGTCCCACGCCACTAAATTATGAAACTATACATGTTTTGTTGAAAATTCTATGAAACCTTATAAATTGTGTGAATTTCACTTTTGTATAGATTATTTTTTCTTTTATTTTGTAAGATGAACTTAGTATGCAATTATTATTGCATTTAGCCAAAAATTAGTAAAATATAAAATAATATATATATATATATATATAGATCGATTATAGTTTTCTTTCTGTTATAGATAAAGTAAGTAGAGTTTACTTGTGTTATTCGTCCATCAAGCTAGAGTGATGAGAATATATTCATCTAGTTTTTACGTGCAAAGAATAGTTGGTTTTTATAGTTGAGCTAATTTTACATACATGACAAGTGATCAATTGTCATGTATGTAAAGTTGGCTCCACTATCAAGTCAGTTGTTGGCTCTATAGAAAAACTGTAATCATAACAATAATTTTTTCATTATCATTTTCATATAAAAAAATACATTGAAATTCATTACATTCTAAGGTGAAGTGGCTAGAATTGATGGAATTTCCTTACGTTTTTTTCTCAACTTTAAACCCTATCGAATTCCATAGAAATCCATCTATATAAAATCCAATGTAATTGGGAATACTGAAATTCCACAGGATCTACAAAATTTAAATTGAGGACTAAGGTTAGTTGTAAAATACATAAAATTCTAAGGATGCCTTAGATTAATATAATATCTTGTTATCATAAGTAGGTGCACCTTTTAGGAATAAAGTAGCCAATTATCGAACTCCATTTAGCACTCACCAAAATCATTCAAAAAGCTACACTTGTCAATGAAAACACATTCAAGAAAAATTTTGTATTCAAAAAGCACAATCATCAATATAAACACATTCAAGAAACATTATTTAATTTGTTATTTAATAGTTACAATTAATGCATGCATCAATGAAAACATTAAAAATGCAACGCCCACATTCAGAAAGTTTGATCTCTCTTTTGCGCGCCTACATTTTTTATTTTTTATCCAAGAAAAGCAATTCAAGTTAGATGGATCATCTATGGTACATGCCAATAATGTTTCAATGGATTAAAATTCTTTATGACATTTAAAAATATCAATGAATTACAAAATTTTCGATCGCGATTTAACTCAGCCCTGACTAAGGACCAGCTGAGACTTTTGACATAAAAGGTTGTTATATAAGTTAATTTTTTAAAATAAAAGTTCACTAAAAAGTGATTATCAACCAGTTCTACAGGTTCTACTCAGCAAGAAATCAAAATCATTATCTATTCAACTTCTTTTTCTTTGGAAGATCTATGTCATCTATAGAAGGTGTTTAATGAAGAAATCCTTCACGGAGGTGCATATCCATAATAATAGACATATAAAGATTGATGTACGCCAAAAGAAATCTCAATAAAAAAAATAAGTTTACTCAAGTTAATCTATTGAGAAAAATATTTTATATTTAGATTAAGGTTTTGCATGAAATGTCCAATAAGTACTATCTACAGTTATATTTTCATCCAAGTAGTTTCAAAATCGTAATGACAACCAAACTTTTCAAGTCAAACGTACACATTCCAACAATTTTTTTTATCAATCAAGCTATCCAATTTTCGCTCGTAAGACGTAATTTGAAAACTTGCAAAACGAGTTTACTAATGAAACAGATCTTATGAAAATCCAACTATAGGACTTTGGATAATAGCACAAAAAGTTAGATATTTGCCAATTTGTTTGACTACTGATCAGAATTCAACCTTTGAGTTTTCATAAGGTTTACCTTATTAGAAAATTCGCCTTGCACCTTTGAGTTTTCATAAGGTTTACCTTATTAGAAAATTCGCCTTGCAAAAATTCAAATGACGTCTCTTAATCGAAAAATGAATATCTTGATTATCAACAAATTTGAACAAAGTTTTGTCTATGCACACGAGCGTCTACCTTTCTATTGATGATTACCGACGAATTAATTTTAAAAAATTGATAAATTATATCTCATTTTATTTGTCTCGCCATAAGCTTCAAAAACCCTAAATCAATTATAAATTTCGATACAAAATTTATTTTTAATTGAGTTAAAAATTATTATATGTCATGTTGGAGTTCTAATAGAGAAAACAAATTGTNGAAAAAAAAAGGGACCAAATCTATTTAAAAAATGACCAAATAATAATATTTTTCTCTTAAAATGAAATTCGTACTTGCTCTCACTAGAGTCTCGCAAGAGTTTTTTATAGTTGAATTAACACATATCCATCCAACGATTAAAAAGCTGGTGAGGGCACTGATCAAACCTTCCAGTTTTGAGAGCTCTCCAAAAAAGGCAAATCAATGGAGCAGTCGGAAAAAGGCAAGAATATAATATACCTCCAAAAAATACGCGAATTCACAAGCACGTCAAACATTAATTACACTTATAGTAACAAGTACAGTCGTGCATTCTTCAACCCCATTGAAACCCAAGAAAAGGAGGCCAAAGTAAAAAAAGGTTCACCAAATGCCCATAAAGAAGGTCAAGAGCGAAAATAAGATGGGACACAAGAGTTCTCGCAAACAGCTAAATGCATCCGATTCATTTTTCCTCATATAATCAGTCTTCAAACTCATGCATGTGATCCAGTAGGTAGTTAGCAGCTAACTCCTCATTTTTGTTGCACGCAAAGAAAACCTGAAGCACCAGCTCACGGTCGAATCCCATTGCTTCGAGCTGCAAACATGAGTAAGGGCAAAAACGGAAATAGTTTACATCTGAGTGTGTTCATAATTTCACTTCAGAACAAAAATACTTGTATTGTAATGTAAATTCACAATTACAATTCAGAACTGAAATATTCAGTATTTGCATTGGAAATTATATTTGTAGCTAGAAATATTTGACAATCATCTCAAGAACTCAATTAATTTATTAACCGTAGATGACAAGTCTTTAACATTTGACAAGACTAATCACGGAATATAACAGTTTGGTAGTAAAAGAATGCCACTGGGCAATGTATACATACAAAAGAAGTTCCAGAAGACACTCACCCATTTCCCTGATTCCAATTATAAATATTGCAAACAAATCCCAGAAAAAAGACCTACTTTAAATTTAAAGCATAATGTTTCACTCATAATAATGGTTTCGGAGATAGAAATTCCAAATTTGTAATAACAAACCATTTCACAGAGACAAGGCTCGTGCAACGTCATCAATGGAATAATTTGAAGTCCTATGCCCTCACAAGAAATCCAAATCATTGAACTCAAATACAAAGTACAACTAAAAATCAAGTCAAAAGGAATTCTTACCCTCTCTATAGCTTCACGTTCCTCAGCTGTAACTGTAACAGCTTGTGGCATTGCATCTCCGAGTTGCCCCAACATGTTAGCGATACTGAGTCCAAAAGAAAAAAAAAATAATAAGTAAAAATTCATTAATTAACCTAAAACCCAAATAGACATACTTGTGAGAGTAAGAAAAACATGTCGTTCTAAGAATAAATGTGAAAAAATCGCATACCCTTCTCCACCTTCAACGGGCTCATTGATGAGTCGAAGAAAGTCAGCTTGGTGGTCTTGGATCAGTCTCACTAGCTGAGGATTCTGCTTACCTAATTCTTGAAGCATGGGCTGCCCCACACACACACACACACACACATGCAAAGGATATCACCCAGGCCTTCCTAAGATAAAATACAAATTATTTACCAGAGGTATAATTTTTTATTTCAAATCGATACCTGCAAGATCTGCGGGTTGGCCTGCACCATTGCTCTCAGGGCTTGGAACTGAGAAAGAAAATATTAAAAAAATAATGTTCCCAACAGCTACTTACAAATGTGTGTGTGAGAGTGTGTGTGTCTGTAAGTGTAGAGGACGTGGGAACTCTCTTCGAGCATTTCCAATTTATACAAACTCAACCTGAGGACTATTGCGCAGAAAATCGAGGGTATTTGCAGCACCAGCATTCGGCCCCATGTTTGGAAAGCCCTGTATATTGGGTGATAATTATATAACCCAAATAATTTCACTAAGATAAATGAAGAAACGAAAGGACGAATAACCAAAAAACCTGAGGGAAAAGATTCAGTGGGTTAGCATTTGGACCAGCTGCAGATGGGGGTGCTGGTTGAGCTGTTTGCTGAGACTGAACAGGCACACTAGCAGCCTGCCCAGCAGGTGGAACTTCAGCTGATTCAGGGATCCCCTGAGAAAACATCGAGATTAACGAGCAATAAAACCAGGGGTGTTAACTACCAGTAGTAAGACAAAGAATTCACACAATTTGCACCTAGAAGAATGCAATTTCAGCAGTATCTACTTCGTGAAGCAGTGCAGATATTATTATATAATCAACCGAATGTTATGAAAGAAATAAACAGAAGTTACGAACATTTTGTTTGCACTATCAGGCAATGCAAAATCTGATATGGAGAAAACGCACCGTATTTAACCAAAAGCCTTTTTGGCGTGCTCAATCACACAAAGACAAAACAAGTTTAATAGACTTACAGAGTATAAATATTCGACAGCCCTCTCTGGATTATTGAAAGCAGCACGAAGGGCACGGAGAACAGTGTCTCTGTCCCAAGTTCCCCCACCCATATCAAGAATCTGTTGTATCGTCCCTTCAAGGTTGCTACCAGCAACTAGATTAGATGCGGCTTGGCCATAAACTTCAGAACTGCCAAAAAAAAAAAAAAAAAAAAAAAGTCGCCACACAACAGAAAATCGAAAGAGTTCCATACCTCATAGAAACAAAATTCTCTGAATTTTGAGATTCTAGTTTTATGTGGCTTCCAAATCCTCATATAAATCATTCGGGAATAATGCATAGCGAAAAGCTCTCTAGTGATTCGTTGTTCACTTTTTCCAATTTCAAAAAAATAAACTGTTCATTAACTTGTTTTCCTGTTCTTTTACCAGGAAGATATAACTTTAACAAACAATAGATTTAATATTTTCAGCAAAACTTTTTGTTGTACGTATAAATAATTATATTATCGGAAGACATTTGAAACTGCCACATCATGCAACGATAATTGTTTCACAGAACATTATTTCTTAAATTATTATTAAAATTATCCCAAGTCCCTGAAGCTCTGCATATAAAAATAAAGGTCAACATCCAATATATGATATTCCTTTCCAATAGCTAGGTCTACAGACAAATAAATCTATTTACAATAAATCTCAATAATACTTACACATCACTAGCAGCCGGGGCCGGAGCCGCAGCAGGAGCAGGAGCTGGGGCTGGAGCTGGAGCAGCCCTGTGAGGTTAATAAGTTAAAAGAGTGATCAAATTACCAATCATGTGCAACTTGAATACCAATGATAGTTGATAATTACGAGAGATCAAAAAATAATATATGTCGACAAAACTCACGCTATTGCGTGAGGTTGAGAAGGTGCAGGCACTGATGTTGAAGTAGGTGGCGCACTTGTTGGTGGTGCCTGTTAAGGTTAAGTACAAAAACAACTTAAACTGCATCTAAAGCAAATTCTTCTCAGAAATGCAATCAGAAGCTCATGGAATAATTCTTTTTCTATAATCATGCGACATTCATTAGGCAAAAAACAAGACGAAAAGACAAAGCAATTAAAATTATCAGAGTCAATTTTTCAAAATCAACAACAACACATTGAAGAATTAGTTAATGGCATGCGAAGGTAAAAATGCATATTCTGATAAACCTCCAACCATAGAGCCACCTACTACAGGAAATCTTTAAGAAAAATGTCATATAGAATGAACAGAAACTTAACTTTTTCGATATAGAAATTGAAACATCACAACATTCAAATAGCAAACCAAAATTTAGTAAAAAATAAATGAATAAATAGCGGAACCAAAAACTATTATACCTTTACAGCAGGTGCATTTGATGTTGTTGATCCTTCACCTGTGGGTCCCTTATTCTACAATTTTTTCAGAAAGAAAACATAAATAAGCAATTAGATAAATCAGAAGGAACATTGATTATTACTTAGTTGCCAATTTTCAGCCCAATCGTGCAAAACGTGCATAGCTGAACAGTCATTACAAGTCAAGTCTATTTACGTCAAGAGCTGTTGTTTCCAACTTCAGTTAAAATCTCTCTTTTTCCATCAACTCATTCATAGGAATGCATGTCATCAATAGAGATCATTGAATACAGAAAAAAAGATTCACAACCCAAACTTTGACTCCCTTCACTAGAATTCATTATGAATCATTAGGCTTGCCTTCTTAAGGGTCTAACCATTTTAGGAAACATAGGACATAGATTACTAGGATATTACTACTGGAACTCTCAATATAAAAGGGCATGAAAGCAAAAATAAAATAGAAAAGAAAATAAAAATCACAGAAAACTAGACAGTTGTGGGAAGGCCGAACTGTTTAATTTATTTCAGCAAGTTGTTTCAGAAACTTGCAATAGATCAACTATTACCTTGCTCAGCATAACAACAACAAAACTGCCTTCAGCAACTTTATTTTCTTCCAGTGTAGTGCTATCTTTAAGAACTTTTCCCTGATGAATAAGCATCTGTAGTGCAGCAGGATATACATCTGCTCCTTGTGCGCTTTCTATAGTTTTCTTTACCTCTGCAACCTGCCAAACAAAAAAACAAGAATAATTGGAACCTAAAAAAAAATAAAAGACTTATCAGTTAGACAATAAAAGGTCCAGCTAAATAATGCATATTTTACACTGTGTCATAACTCCTTTGCATGTAAAAGATTGAAAAAAAACTATATTTTCTCAAGCATAATCATAGAATTTCTCCTTGATATGTCCTAATTTCAATAGCCACATTGAGAACTTTCGACTTCTACAACAAACAGCCTTAAACACAAAGGAAAAAAGGGTCAGGCCCACATCCTGAGAGAATCTGGGTAATGATATAGGAAAAAGGTTCCTCTAAAGTTTATGTATCCAAACACGAGCTTTAAGATTGGTCATAACCTATTTGATTGTACACAAATAGTCTACACATATAGATTTTCACTGAATTTTCAAACAAGAGACCCATTACACGTTGTTTAGTCACAAGCTTCTTCAATAATAAGCTTCGTATTTTTTTTTTTCTTTTGTGGGTAGAGATGCATGGCAATGACTTTCTTGATGTAAGCCACTAAGTGTGCTATTGACAGATTCTAAATCACGCGACATACACCATACCAGAAAAAAATAAAAGCAGAGAAGAATAATATGGTGCTCCCTCGGCAAAACTTGGATAAAGTTGAGCCAAAAGTTTGCGATTCATAACTATTAAAGAAGTATTGTATTGCAACACAAAATGGTCATCAACAATTGCATAAAGTAATGACGACACTTAAAAAAAAATGCATATCCTATAGAAATCAATGGATAATATCCCAATGCTAGCAACTAATGCTTATATAACAGCTCCACTCGTTATCGGAGTCCATACCCACAACATAATCAGTCAACATGAACAAAAAATAACAAATAATTACAAATAACATAATAAGAAAACAATGGTAATTCACAAAACTCAAATTGATATTAGATTTATGACAAGTTCAAAAACTTTCAAAGTCAAAATTAACAAGAGGGGGAGGCTAGAGAGAGAGGGAGAGAGAGAAGACAGAGAACACGAACCGTATCCACGGTTTTCACTTCAATTTCGAAGTGCTTGCCCTTGAGTGTCTTCACAAAAATTTTCATCTTCGAAGATCTTTCGGCTTACTTCCGAATAATCTGAAAAACTTAGATCAGCGTAAGTAATANAAAGGGCACACAGCAAAAGAACTAGAGGTCCAGGAAAATGATTGTTTTTAGTTTTAAATTTTGTTTTTGGGTTATTCAATGATAATAGGAAACGCCAACGATGATCGAGAGATTACGAATGAGGAAGACAAGTGGCTAGGTTGGTGAGTGAGAGACACACAAGGGAGAACTGAAGCACCTATTAAATGGAATGGAATGTAAAGATACAGACAGGGTGTGGGATTTATGTGATGTTTATCTTATCAGTGGGTTTCGAAAATGGCCTTGGGCCTAACCCAACTCAAGGAAAGGCCTTCGCACTTTGCTTGCCTATGGAAATGAACTTGTTCCAAGTTTTCGGCTTTTCATCAACATAACCACATTTGAGTATTTACGTCTAACACCCAAAACAGAATATGTGAAGAAATATACAAGTCAACTGCACCGAACTAAGTTTAAAACAACAAAGCACTACAGCAGAAGCTTTAATTTGATCACGAGGGACTAAACCATGCTTAGCAGGACAATAAAGAAAACAACTACATGCCAACCTGTTCGGTTAAAGTAAAAACCTAAAAGAGTGAAAAAATATATATAAAGCATATTCATTATTCAAGCAATTCAAATATCAAGCCATGAAACTAGAATAACGAATCCAAATTGAACCCTAATGCAATTAGGCACCGTTTTGGGACCCGTATGATCAATCACCCACAAACAAGGGGTATCAGCCTCGTCTTTCGTAAAAATTCCAAATTATTTCATAAGAATCATATCGTTGAGGAATTAAAATGCATGCTTCATTAAACACTTTTCTAGTTCTTGTAAAAAAGGTAATTTCATAAGATAGATATTTTACCCACCTCGAAATACAAAGTAATAGGCAAGCTTAGTTAATGGGATCAAACTTCGTCTACTAAATATAAAATATTATAAATTGTGGCTAACTAGTATGTTACGTGGGTAAAAAAGAGGCAAAATAGACAGCCTTGTTGCTGCAAAACCTACCGGACAGCAGCACGTGAGTAGGCAGCAGTTACATGGGTAAAAACAGGCAAAACAGACAGCCTTGTTGCTGCAAAACCTACCGGACAGCAGCGCGAAAGTACGCTGCTTCCGTGTTTTAAACATAACTTTTAATTATGTACATATATACACACACACACAAAGTGATTCGTGCTCCCCTACAAAGTCAACACACATATCTAAAATTCTTGTGTAGACTCCCAACAAAGACGAGTATGTTGTCCAGATATAAATAACTCAAAAGCGAGCAGCATTGCTCCATAAAACTTATGACAGCTAACTTCACATTTTCAGCATAATGCTTCTTATAAAGTGGATATTTGAATGATTCTTGCGCCTATAGAAAGCCAAGGTAAGACGGCCAGCTACATTATGAGTGTCAAAACAGCATAAAACCAGACAAACAGTGAATATCAAGATCTATTGATGGAATTAAATAGACCGATTAAGTCAAAAAGATTATCAAAGTCTCAAAAAACCACACCATGGCCTACTTTGAATCCCTTCAATTAAGCCCCAACTCCTTCTACAGCCACACAATACCCATTCTACCCCTCGGAGCAGCCCCAACCTCACCAGAGCTAACCCGGGATCTCTCAACACACTCGCAACAATACATTCGAAATCCCACACACGCACATGCACAGACAAGCCACAGCACACACATCACCCACCGACAAAAATCAGAAACTCAAAGAAATTGAAATCCAAAACTACCGACGTGATCCTAGAGACAAGGGCTATGAATTAGTATAATATTCACAAAGTTTCATAAGTCGAACACCCGCACGGACAAGCCGAGGCCGGCGGCCGTCCTTGTCCCCATCCCGGGTTTTCCGGCATCAGAATATAAAATTACTAGTATATTTCGAATCTACACATCAAAACTAACTATTTTACACATAAATCAAAAGGTTTTACCGGCGATAGAGAGGCTGTCGCGGCGGTCAACGGTAACCGGCGGTGGTAAGAAAATGAGGATAAGAAGAAATGATAAATGGAGCCGTGTTGGCTTGAAGTTGCTAGAAGGTGTTAGGTGTGAAAAAAGAAAATGAAAATGAAGTCGGCTGGGTCATTAACTAGGCCTATCGCTTGAAGATGATTGGTTGGGCCTCTAAGGATTGGTCCAATTTTTATCTCATTTTTGGGCCTGTAATATAAATAAACAATGGCCGAAGTACATAACTGACCTCTTAATAAAAAATATTTCCATTAAATATACACGCTACATAGAATTTCAAAATTACTCCTTTTATTTCAACTGCTTTAAAAAGATTCAAAATAAAAAGAAATTTATTCTTATCCAAAAAATTAAACATATTTTTCTTTTATTTTTTTTTTCTCTCTCTTTTTCTTCTCTTCCTTCCTTTTATTTTTTCACGTCCTTCTGTTCTCTTTTGTTCTTCTTCCTTCTTTTTCTTTTCTCTTTTTCTTCTCTCTTGATTTTCTTTTTCCCGTCCTTCTTCTGTTCTTCTTTTGTTCTTCCTTTTTGTTCTTCCTTATTCTTCTTCAACCATGATGCATAAGAAAAAACATCATAAAGAAAAAAAAAAGATTGATAATTACATAAATAACAAATAAATTATCTAATAAGCAACACAAAAGGTTGTTATTGGAACTTCAAAAATAATAATATATTTTATAGAAAAAAAGACACTGAGTGTCAACAAAACAACAATATAACAACAACATAAAAACAACTTTCTATTAACAATAAAAAAATATATGAGAGTATACTTCACAACAACCAAAAATCACAATTACAACAATCAAACTGCATAAAATCATAAATCAATGACTGAAAATTTACAAAATTAACTTTTAAAGAAATCATGGAAAACCACATTTTTCTCTCAGAACTACTAATACATAAAGAACCAAAAGCCCTTTACTAATGGATGTTATTTTGTGAATAAAAAATAAATAAATAAGTCCAGAAATAGCCTGAACAACCTTTGCGGCTATCACCTCCACCCTCTCACCCCCTCATCTGACAACACCATCACCCATTTTTTCAATCACTCAACCAACAAATGAAACAGAAGGGAATAAAAAAAACTCAAAAGTACATATGGGGAAAAGGGGAAATACTGGACACGAGGGAGAAAAAAATTCGAACATGTTAAAATAAATTGAACATCTCCACTTATGTGGATCAGCACAAATGAAAATCTTAAAACAAACAATCTAATTTCACAAAAAATTGAGAAAGGAAAATATTATTTCGGTTGAGATCTCCCAATCTCGTAAGAACTCACAGTCATTACCTTCAAATATCGCCACCACCTCAAAACCCTCTCTGAAAATTCAGAGAATCCGACGCAGCGGCAACTCTTGAAATAAATTGATGATCTATGAATTCAATTTCGAGTGAGATTGGTCGTGCTAGGCTTCTATGTTTGATAATTGCATAAAGTGAAGAATAAATCTAAAACAATAGGAGAAAACGAGAAACAAGAAAAAGTGAAATAATGTAGAATCGTGGGAAATAAAAAGAAGAACGACTAGTAACCGCAACATCCCTCTAACAATAATCAGTTATTAGATTTTAAATATGACAAATTAAAAAAACATTAAGGGAATGAAAAAAGGTAAAAGTGGAATAATGACATGGTGAGTTAAAACAGTAATAAAATTTTCTAGAGGGATAGAGCGTGTCTTTAATTCTAAACAATGTGGATTTTTGGTACAAGAATATCGTAAATCTTCTTAACCGATTCCTGAAAAAGAATGGCTCATTACATACAAACGTAACCGATTTCTGAAATATTATTTTATATTTTAAAAATGTACTATATTTTAAAAAACATATTTTTGCATTGTTACGCCCATCTTATATAATAAGTGAATTATGTATTTACATACATGTTAATTAATACAAATATATCATTACATAAACCCCTATAAGCATATGTGGTCAAATATACATTTTTATAATATAATTCAATTTATGAATAAATTTATAATATATATGATTATATAAAATAAAAATAAGATTTTTCTAAATTATTTATAAATGCATTTTTGTGAGTTTTGTTTTTATATAAGTATTTAGTATCTCTAATTAAAATATGACTTATAAATAAAAATATTTTATAGTTTTTTATCTAAAATTTATTTTTTAAAATGATTTTATTTAATATAATTCAATTGTGATAATATAATAAATATTATATATTTATTTGTTGTTATTATTATTTGTCAATTTTATTTTTTGAAAAATCGATTCCTAAGCATTTGGAAATGAGAAAACCATCTACTAGCTATGGAATGGCTAATCCCGTGTATATGGATTTTGGAATTCCTATTGGAATAGTCATTCTCTTCTAAAAAATATACCAATTATGGGGATGATCATTCCATTCTCACGTCATTCTCACATATCAATCATGTCATACATGTATAACTTATTTGCACATCTACATAATGGAACATATATATTTAGAGAATTTCTAGACAATAAAAACAGATCATTAATAAAAGAATTACCTTATGAAGAATCCCGTAACTGTTGGGATTTCTATTTTATTTCGTTCTCACTTCTTCCTTATCCTACTTGTAGACAACTCAAATTTTATCTGCTCTTTTCTTTCTTCTCATTCACAAACTCCCAAATCCTAGTTTAATTCGAGACTCCCAGTAAATTTAAATTATTTAACCGGCAGAAGGCAACAACCGGGCACAACTGCTGAACATGGCCATGTTGATCGGTGCTAAACATGGCCTAATCGGACCAGACAATCGGGCGAGGTTACTCTGCGTGACGACGACGTGCTGCGGCTATGGGGGCAAAACTCCTGTTGGAGAGGTTGTGGTGGCTGCGATGCTCTGAACGCGTGAGATGGCCGAAGGTTGCTACATGGTTGAACGTGAAGATGACCGGACATGGGTGTTCCGAGGTTGCCGGACTCCAGGCTATCATCGAAGGGCATCTAAATCCGAGCTTCGAGCTCATGTCGGCCATTAATGGTTGACTTAATCTAAAAAACAAGAATCTCGATTGAAAAAAAAAAGATCTCGATTGGTGGTTTGACCCACTGTAAGAGGTCTCCGGTCGGATGCACGGGGTCTTGGAAGTCTTGACTAGTCGAAAGTTAGTTAATGGAGGCCGATGGGTGACGACGAGACTGTGAACCATATTTGGGGATTGCAGGTACGATTATGAAAATTGGACAAGTTTCTAGGGACTAGTTTGTAATTTTAAGATTTGAATTTAATTAATACTAAGTCCTGGATCAATTTGGCAAGGAAGAAATGGAGGTGATGTTTGTGTTTACAATTTGGTCGTGGCGGGGCAAATGTCGGCGGAGAAGATGGCAGCGAGATACAGATAATTTTCACAAGCCAAAGTGAATAAAAAGTAAAAAGTGTATTACAAATAAACTAGATATAAACTAACTACAAATAAAAAAAAATAAAAAAAAAATAACTCGATCTGAAAAACTTCGACTCGACTTCAGAACTCGACCGATCGAAAAAAAAAAAGAAGAAAGAGAAGAGAGAGAGAGAGAGAGAGAGAGAGAGAGAGAGAGAGTTAGAGAAAAAAATTTCATTAAATTATGGCAGTTACCAGTTACATGTAACTATCTTAATAATTATTTTTAAAAAATGTAAGTTAAAATTTGAGAGATCTGGTATGTATGCAAATATTTATGGCATATTTTGTATGTTTGCAGATAAAAAAATATGTTAGTATATATGCAATATTTTATTTTTTGGTTAGTGCATGGGGTAATTTTCTCTTTGGTAAACCTAAACGAAAAGATGGCCCAACCCAAATCAGATTCCACAACCATAAAACTTCACCGGCAGTTGCAAGAGGAGGCGCAGCCGCCGATGATTCCACTTCCTTTGCCCTGTGATGATAACCTCATCCTGAAAACTCAACTATTATTCCTCTTTGTTGGCTTCAAACGTGTTTCCCGGTCATATAGAAGCCTTGGCTTTTCTTCTACCTTTCTGCCTGAAATTCAGGCTCACATCATCGCCACTGCAAAAGCCGCCGCGAGCTTGCTCGGCCTTCAGATGCTCCACCGTGGAAGCCACTAAGAGCCAGCTAGATTTCTTTCGGTGATGTACGTTCCTCAGGCATATCTACAAACACAACCGAAATTATATCGACATCCTCGAAGCTCATCCTTGATGGACTTATCACTTATCAGGTTTGGTAACAAATTACGATTCTACACTGGAAGTATTGGATCATGTCTAGAGGAAAAATCGATGAAGGCACTTGAAACATGATGTGTTACATTAGGGATCAAATTTTTGCTCGTGTAGCATTTCGTGTTTTGGTCCTTTTGGATGAGTGACACATGTATAAATATGACATCATCATGTACACGTGTCATTCATCCAAAATAAGATATGAAATGAAACATGAAAGTGGAGCATCCAAACCGTTACATTAGCTACACTTATTCCCGATGTTATTGCTTATAACGAGCTGCTCATCGGCTTGAAGAAATCGGGCCTGAAAGATGAATCCAGAGAGATTTTGGCTTTTTCGGCTAGGATGAATTCTCCTTTTACATGGGCATTCTGGCAAATAAATTCGCTTCAAAGTCATCAAAATTTTGTGAAGTCGTTCACAATGTCGAGAAGGTGGCTAAAGACTGAGGACTTTCGATGTAGAACACATTGAATTAATGTGCTCGGAAATGTGGGTTCGGGCAGATGAAGATGGATGGGCAACAAAAATCCGAATGTGGTTAATTATTTGTCATTTTGATTAATATAGCTTCACACTCACAGAGACTATAGATTACTTTCCTAACACAAACTTCAAATTGAAATGTGGTTAGTCCACTTAGATAGAGACATTATGGTTAGGTCACTAAGGTAAGTAACCATCTGCCTTATAAACTCAACTATGTGCTAATGAAATAGAAGCGGTGAAAAAATGAAGTTTTATGTGTACATTGTATAACTAGATGATGATTATAATAATAATAATAATAATAATACTAATAATAATAATAAAGGAATAAATTAATCGGGCTATCTTACATGTCCTAAAAATTTCTGCATCTGACTAATTAACTTGGTAGAAAAAATAATTTCATCATGCCTCCAATTTCAAAGTTAGCTATGTTTTTGGATATATATTTAATTGGCACGATTAGCAAACCCAACATATATATGAATTTGTAAATTTGATTAACATCAGAATTAAACAACATAACAAATAATTAAAAATACTAGATCATGACTTGTAACAATTACAGAAAATAACACCTAATTTTCTCAACAGCACAACTACGTCCTTGAATCATCAATAAACAAATGAAAATGTTGAAATCACAGACCAGTTATACTCACGTCGAGCTCTCACACACTCGAAAACCCTGTATTTCTTGCAATAATTACCAGTTATCATTTTCGACAAAATTATTCCAATAAACCAGATCTCACCAAATTATGCTCACATATATAGCTAAGCCTTCATTTCTCGTCATCTACATAAATTTCTAAACAAATAAATAAATCGAAAACCTGTAAGCAAAAAGTCGATTTCTCTCGAAACAACATGCTAAATCTGAAAAATTATTACGTACCATTCATGCTCAAGCTAAACACCATGCATACACTAACACAATATCGAGGTAAAACATTAATAATCCAACTAAAACGCAGTCATATTAAACAAATTAAATTGCTAAATTATGCACCAGGCCCAGAAAATTAATAACTCACCAGCAGGTGTTCATATAAAACTAAACAAACGCAACAAATTCCAATCCAGAAGGAATCACCATCTCAAATGATTGATCTAGACATCTAGTTAATCCAAAACATTAGTTTCTCGTTAATTTCAGCTCCTTAAAAGAGAGAGAGAGAGAGAGAGATTGAGAGAGAGAGAGACGCCTCCATATCCAAATCACTCCAGTACCTTCTTAGGGAGCCTCAGTTTCAGCACCTGCTTGTCTTCGAAAACCAGAAGAGTCAACTCAAGGGCCTCAACACAAAACCGATCTGCACCGTTCAGCTCCAAGATAGCAGAGTACGTTATGAACCCCAATTTGGCGCGGGAATCAGTGTCAAGCGCCGAAGACTCTGCGCAAATCGCCAATTTGTCACCCATGACCAAGTACTTGACGTCATCCAGCGAGACCACCCCAGGGACACTGATCAGAGCAACAATGGCGTCCTCAGTCTCGATAACCTCCGGGATCGGGAATTTCATGCTCATCGTAACTGGCAACGGGCCCACCTTCTTCTTCCCTATTAGAAAAAAAAAAGATCGGACAAAAATTACAGAGTCGATCGCGAACATCTTAGCGAGAGAGAGAAAAGTTACTGTGAGTGACGATCGGAGGTAGAGGAGCTGCCGGACAGAGAAATTGCTTGCCGGAAAAAGAGCTGGAGAAGGGACGGAGTCGGAGTAGCTTTGGAGGGGCAAAGGCAGGGAAAACAGGGGAAGAGAAAAACATGGCGAAGGCCATTTTCAGTGTAGTACAGGAAAAATATGGTATGACGGTAGATTGTGGGAGTTGNTTTTTTATTTTAGTTTTTTATTTTATCGTGCCATTACTTGCCGAGGCCTTTGACATGAGGACAAGTGTTACACTGAGATTGTTGTTTTAAGAGTTTGGTGAATATATTTTTTCACTATATTAAAAGACTTGATGTATATTTTATTATATGTATACATATTTAAATTACTATAAACATAAATGTATTGCAACACTCAGTCTACTTAATTTATTTAAGAATAATAAATTGCCTCGCCCTTATTATTTTTGACGTATCTGGTTGTTGACCAAGGGGTGAGACATGTCCAAAGAACACTTTCAATTTTATTAGAATGTCAAAGAAGGTTAGATTTATTATTCGATTTTAACTCGACAATAATTTTCTATAAAAATATTTTCCATAGTTATAGATTGAATTATCGTGTCATTTTATTGAAAATAAAAAAAAATATATATTTATACATGGGGGTCGGGGAATTCAATGTGATTAAGAATACATATTGACATAAGAGTTGGAAAGCGTGAGTCTAGAGTTTAATACTAAAAGTAGGAATTTAATCAAGGAAATCAACCTAAGTACAAACGATAGAATCTTAGCTCGAATCTCCATCTAGCGCTCAGGTCGACTTCTCAGGAGTCGGTGCTTAACTGGAGATGAGGATACAGAAAATCAGACATTGGTACGGGTTAGCAAAACTGTGCCGAAATCGAAAAACCGAATCGAACCCAATTGTGCAACTCGGTGCAATTCGATTCAGTTATTTTAATGTAAAAAAAAATCTGTTCAGTTTGAGTCCGATTGCGGTGTTGTGCGACTATAGTTTTTCATAAGTTCGATACCGCATCAAATTGATTAAAATGTATAAAAAATCGGGATAAAACCAAAATCGACCAAACCGTGCATTTGGGTGCAGTTCGGTTCGATTATTTTAGTGTAAAAAAATGTCAGTTTGATTTTCTCTAAGTTGCGGTGCAGTTGGATTTTTTTTTTTTTTTTCGATGTTCATTTTTTCAGTTTTTTGTGGTTCGGTGCGTTTTTTCACCGAACTGTGGTTCGGTGCTCACCCCTAGACATTGGTACTCCGACCTCAATGCATCATGGAGATCAGAGTTTGAAGACGCACTGAAGAGAAGGAAATGTTATAATAATCCCACTTGCAGCCCAATGATAGCCGATGGGACGTGCACACCTGCCCTGCAAACCTACGTTTTCTAGGTGCTTAGGGCAGCATGTCTGCATTAAATGTCTATCATTCCACTTTAAATGGCAGATATAACCCAATGAGCATTAATTGGGCATATCTTATTATAAATAGTCCTAAGAATCCAATTGGGAAGGATACAGATAATCCTCTCTGTAAAAAAACATATTTCCTCATTAAATACCGCAATTAATACGAGCATTCGAGCTCATATCTCGAAAAGTCTGACTCCACTATTGCTTATTCTTGCACAAGTTTATCTTTTTATTACCAAACCTAAATGGCTTAATTACTTAATTATCGACACTTAATCATTGTGTTTGGTTGATTAAGACCATCGGTCAACAGTTTGGCGATAGAAGAAGGGCTCCATAATTTATTTGGCGTCAATTTTTGACTTGTGAACACCACGAAAAATTTTTTTTCCTTTCTCCGATAAATCACTGGGAGATGACGTCATCCGATCAAGACGATCATTCGCAACAACAATCGCCATGGCAAAAACCGACGAAGCAACCGCATGTTGTCGCACCCACCATCGATCTCACGGTAGTGTTCCCACACTCTGATTTTCTCATAAGCATGGAAGGCACCGTGGCCCGAATTTTGGCATTAACCACCTGGGTGAACCAGGTCACGGTAGCGGAGATGACGAGAACTCCGCCGACCAACATGCTAAAGACGCCGGAAAAGAAGAACGACCTCGTAGGCAAAACTAGAGATAAGGAGCCGACTCAATAGCAAACAAAAAACCACGACTCAATCCCCGAACTATGGGGCCACGGCATAGACATTGTCCTTCACAATAACAAACCTCGTTGTCCCGGAATTTCATTAAATATGTGTGTTTGTGGTGTAGCTATAAATCTGTGTTTTGTATTTTTGGAGAACACCCCTCATTTCCCAACTTTTTAGTTGGGAAATTAGCTATTCTTCTCTCTTTTATTTTATGCTTTGTTTTGAAGGTCCAAGATTTGATATTTTCCGACGACTTTATCTTTATCCAAAATTCAACTTTACACGTTATTTTTGTCCGAGCTTGCGATATGAGGGTAAGTACCTTAATTAAGGCTTATTACTTCGAGTTTGTGTTTTGGCCGGAATATTGTGTTGATGCTCGATTTAGGACTTTGCTTTATTTATTATTATTTTTTTTTGAGAAAATTTGTGTCTACCTTGTTATAAAGGTCGCGACTTTGCTCAAAGTGTGATGATTTAGTAAAAAAAACTCGGTTTATCTACCTAGGATGTTATGGCTAGCATATTTCTCTTCGTTTATTTTCATTTTCATCAAGTCAAGGGGCTCCGGATAACCAAAGTTCACATTTTTCTTCCGAAATCCCATCTTCTTTAATTGCTTTCAAGTGATTTCAATTCTTAGTGCAAATTAGTTTAAGTTCACCCTCATTCAAGCGAGTAGCATGTTTAGGACTTTATTTTCGGTTTTGTGATTTGATGACTAGAAAGTGAACGAAGCTCCATACAACCTTCCTCCGATAAGACGACCCGAGGTCAATCTTTTGATCGTACTTGGCTAAAAACTACAAACAGCGTGGCCCACCAAAACTTGCGGCCCGCACGGGCCAGCCCGTTTAGGCCTGCTCTTTGGCGGGCCTTAAAAATTGCAGTCCGAACCATCTATTAGACAAGGCGGGGTGGGCCAGCCCGCCAGCCCAGGCACGTTTTGACAAGCCTAATTCGTACTATTTATGTCCATGGTTCAGAAACCAGAAGCACTCCGGTCAGGTTTGAGGCATTGAACCGCATGTGCCCATAACTGGATCAACACCTTTTGAACCGGTTAAAAATTGGTAAGACCGATAAATCGACTCCGTTTCGTGCAACCCAGCCGGTTTAGTTTTGGGTTTTGAAATGTGAAGCTAAACCAATCATTTAAATAGCATGTTGCTTTTTCTTGTCTTTCCACGTGGGATATACAACTAATACCTCATGTGCTCCTCTTTTCTTTACTTTTTTTTTTGGACTTGGGTTTATAAGTTTAGTTTGGACTTGTGCCTATAATATTACTTTGGACTAATTGATAATTCCACAATTGTGAAGATTTGTATTCTATGGCCCAATTTAGATGGGTTCGGTCTCTCCCAATGTGGTAATTAAATTATATGCATGTGCTTAATATTTTCTCTTGTGTGAGCAAAATTTTAGTTTATTAAATTTTGCAATAGGAGGCTAAATTTAGAAAATTACTTTAATTTCATAAAAAACATCTAATTAGTTTTGAGGATAACTTTGGAGTCCAAAATTGATCAAAACCAAAAGCCCAAAACTGAAAATAATAAAAAACTTAAAATATGATTTAAAAATTAAAATATAAATTTATTTGTTGGAAAAAATACGCTGAAATTTTCATGAAGTCGGATCTATAAAAGTGAAATAAAAAATAAAAATTGGATACGCCAAATTGATAACGGAGTTCGGCCAATAATACCTACGTCTCCGGACTACTGCAGATATTTTATTAGAAGAAAAATACACTTGTGTTTACAAAACACTCTCAAACTCACTCACAACTCACAACACAAATACACACAAAAGCTAAAATTTTTTGCTTCTTGTTCACTCTTTTTCTCTCTTTCTCTCTTGTGTTGGTGTTGTATTTGTTCTTTTCGTTGTGGTGTGTTTCTGATGCCTCATCTGCCTTCTATTTATAGATGCAAAAAACATCAAATTTCAAAGAAAGGTGGCTGCATAATTTTTCCAACTTTGGTGGCTTTGTTTGTGAATGCTCTATTTTCCTTCTTTTGCTGCTGTCAAAGAAAGAGAAGTTCCAAGAGCATAGTTTTCATTTGCAGCTTGTCAAAGAAAGGTTGCTGCCACTATTCTTGACTCAACATTATTCTCTATTCTGTAACTTAAATATATATTAAAATATAAATGATAAAATAGAAAAATCATCAACATTATTCAACATTGTCGGTTCTATTATTTAGTGAAATATCATTATGCACTACAAAATTAATGATAAAAACTATAAAATTATATATTATACATATAAATAAATAAATAAATTATATATTAATTAAACTGGTTCGAACAATGAACTATTAAATCGGTTGCTTCACCGATTTGATGACTGATTTAATTTTCAAAACCTTGGTTATATCAACTTGCTTGGCATATAGATGCTTGAAAAATAAACTCCATTTATATTTTGACTTCGTAAGTTGATGCCTCCACCAAAATTCCACAATCTCTATTCCTTTTCCAGTCAAATCTTAGCCATCTCTTTAACTAATAACACCATTCAATTCTATACTTTTCTTCTCCATTAAGTTTGCACAAATCATTGTGTGAGTCACTTTTGTCATATTAACAAAAATATAACTTATATTAAATAAATTATATTTTTATTTATATAATTTTTTAAATATAAAATTTTGAGTTTAAAAATATACATAATATGATTGTTAACCGTTTAAGCATGTGACACTGAGTGAGGCGTTTTTGTTCCCTCCAAATTGGAGACATTTTTTTCCGAATCAAATAAGTTGACCTTATGCGTACACTTTTCTTCATTTGAATTCCCAGTGCTAGCTGCTCTCTCTCCGCGGAAATCCCCAATTCGCAACCCTTCTTCCAGTCGCAATCAATTTTCGCGTGCGTCTTCCCCGACAGGCAACTGGGCCTTTTGCCGGCAGATGGCCTGTAGCGGCACTACCTTTCCCTAATTTCGTGCGGCCCCTCTCATCTTGCGTCAGTGGAGGAAGAAGACTGCCCGAGGGTCGGGTGTCGCCAGTCTCAGGTTGCCGATCGAGGTAGCGATTCGTCGTCCTTACTGGTTTCGAGGTGGTGCCAGGTGGTGGTGTGGGGTTGGGGCTTGGGTGTGGCCCTAACTACTCGCGAAGTCCATGGCAGGTGGAAGGGGCTGAGGCGTGGCTTGCTCTGTCCCCTGCTCCTGTGCTCCCTAGTGTGGGGTGGACGAGAGGCCGGCACTGCCGGACCTTGGCCAGTGGTGTTGGCCGAGTCCGGGGCGGTGGTGGTGTGACGGGGTGTGGGTGGCTGCTCTTCTGGTTGTTGGTCGGGTTTCATCTTCCTAGAGTGGGTTGGGATCTACGGTTTCGACTTCATCTAGGCGTTAGGTAGTTTCAGGAGTCGGTTCTTGGATTTTGGACTAGTCTGTTAGGTGTTCGACTTGGGTTATGCGGATGCTTCGTGTTGGCCTTGACTTGTCTTCTGGGAAAGATTTTGTGTGTTACTTTTATTTAGTTTAGTTTGTTTTCTTTTGTGTGTTTTTGGTTGTTTTTTTTCCCCTTTGGGAGCTGTGTGGTCATTTTGTAGTGTTGTTTTTTCTCTTGTTGGGAGTATGTATTCTCTCATCTGGAGCGTGTTTTGTGTAATTCTTTTGTTGGGAATTGTATAGTTTGTTGTGCTGTAGGTGCGTTAGTATAGTTGCTTCGCCTCTTGGATTTAGTTGTTTGACTGTTTAGTTACTCTAGTTCGTTGCACTGGCTCCATCTTTAAATTACGTTGTGGTGATATGTAAATAATTATTAGTGTTGGTGCTCGTGTATTGCAGAAAATGTATTATAAATATATATATTTGGAATCAATTAGAAATTGAGATGAGGTAATTAATGAAGTAATGCTAATAGTATATCTTTTGTCAGTTTATTTTTATTTTTCCTAATACATTTTCTATTTGTATAATTTATAATATAACACATTAGCGAATACTAAATATATATTAATTAAGTATAATTATTCGATATGATTTTTAAATATAATATTTTCATAAATACTATTAATTTATTTGTTTCATAATGAATTACCCGAGGAGGGGAATTGTATGTGCATATATTCATATATTTCGAGCCCGCAGCTAAATGGGATTGGTATCTATTCGAATATTTTACTAATAAATTTTATCGTCTCTTAATCGTGTTTTTGATTAATAACTAGTATATATCCCGTGCGATGTACGGAGGAGTTCATATTTTAAACTTTTTTTTAGACTTATGTAGATAAAAAAATATGATATTAATTAGTTTGTTAGAATGTGATTATATGAAAATCAAGATATAATATGAAATTTACCCAAAAAAAAATCTGTTTAGGATATTTTTCTTTAAATGTTTGAATTTAAAATTTTAATACCGAATTTAGATTATATCACATAAGGAAAAAATAAATAATAAACTTTTATTAATATATTAAAATATGTAATTCTGAATTTCATATAAAGTAAAAGGTATGATAATTCAAATATATTTTTAAAAACTTTCTAAAATAATTAATATTTTAGTAATTATATCGTAAGAATAATCGTATAATTAATTAAATAAAATATTATATTAATTATATCTTAAAATACTTGATTAGATAACTTGGATAAAAAAATTATTATATTAATTAGTTATTAGGAATGTGTTTATATGAAAATTAAGATAAAATAGAATGTTCCCAAAAAAAATCGACCTCTTTTTATTCATCATAAGGGAAATGCTCACATGTCCACAGTGAGCACATGTTAATATGTCCACCGACTTATGTGGCATGCACACATTGGTAATGTATTTTTTTTAACATATTAACATCACCAATGTGTGCATGCCACATCAGCGGTGGGCATATTAACATGTGTCCACTGTGGGCATGTGAGCATTTCCCTTCATCATAATACTCAACTATTGTTTTATTTTAAGATTTATTGTCACACGATATGTATTTGAATAATAATTATATGCAAAATATTATAATTAATTAAAAATTTTAAGTGGACACTTTTAAATAAATCACATCACATTTATCATTAATAAGACATATATTCGTTGAGGCAAAAAAATTGAGTAAAATAACTGGGCCTATTTTTTGAACCATCAATTCCATTAACAATTAAAAAAATAGCCCAAAGTGTGGCCATTGATGAAGCCCGGTTTGTTAAGAGATGACAGGCCCTTTATTCCAAAGTAAACAGATCGACGGCTCGGAGTAACCCACAAAATTCGATGGCTGAAAACAGAAGCTTTTACATATAAAAGCTGGAAAAGTGAACCCTAAATCATTTTCAGATTATTCCTCAACATTATCGCCGCAACACCTTCTTCCTCATGATTTTGGGTCCATTTTTACGAAAAAATCACCAAAAATAGAAATGTTAGCCTACTATCCAAATTTTGCTACCTCGACAGCCAAAATGATCGAAATCAATCTCTATCGTTATTTTTTTGTCAGTCGGAGCTCCTCCCTGCCCGGCGGCTTTGCACCCAACCCGCACAGCAGCTCCTCCTTCTGGATCGTCCATGTCGATCATCTTGAACATCTGCTTGAGCTCGAGGTACACGTCGGCGGAGATCTCGGACCACTCGTTGGCGGAGCCGGAGGGGAGGACGGTGGTCGGCGTGGCCAGGTCGCCGCCGCCTTTCTTTTTGTATACGTCCTCGGAAGAAGCCGAGGAGGACGTCGACCGGGAGCTGAAAGACGGAAGATCATCTTCGGATCTGGAAACGGATCGAGATTTTTTGGGCCTGAACAGCTTGCCGGGTATGATCTTGGCGAGTTTCATGGCGGAGATGAGAATCCAACGAAAGTGAGAGAGAAGAAGGCAAGGAGAGAGAATGAGGATGTGGAAAATTGTGGTTTGAGGGAAAGAGAGGAGGAAGAAGAGAAGTTAAAATGGTGCAAGGAAGTTAGAGAGAGAGAGATAATTTTTTTTGGCAAAGATAATTAAAGGATAAATTAAAATAAATCTATAGTGAATCTTTCCTAAAATTTAGCTGCATAATCGGATCACAAAATATCAACCAACTATTTCAAATAAAATTTGAGAGGGAAAACAACAATTTGAGCGGGAACTGAAATAATTTTTTTAAAGTTTTTCAAATAATTTTTCTTCTCCGTATTATATATTAATAGATATGAACGTTATTTGCAAGGACGGAGCTACATAGGACTCGGGGGCCTTGGACCCCCTTAATATCTATATTTATATATATAAAGAAAAAATTATACAATATGTATAGATATGTAAAAAATATGTACAGCATATTAATAATTAAAATTATATTTTCTATGCTATTTTAATTTAAATTAATAGTATTATTTATTTATTGAAAAATGTACTAACAATCCTTATATTTTACATTTCTAGATAAATTTTTGAAAATGTTAATAATGTTTTACTTTTTTGGTCTCCTAATTGTAAATAGATTTAGTGAATTATAAAAACGAGTATTTAATTTGATAGTTATATTTTTTAATGTTGATTTTTTGTTTTGTTTTGTGTAATTACGTATTTAACTTCATTGTATTTCTTAAAAGAATGTTCATTTGATAAGTTTTCGTCAATAAAAATGCTATGCAATATGCTACAAAAGTTCAATTTATATAAGTTTTTTAACCAAAAACACTTTTTTTTTCATAAATTATAATTGTTGAACTTAAATTATAAATACATGAAATTTCATTTTTTTCTTTTTTAAGTTTGAGGGCGATATAGATTCTAAGTTTTTAAAAACTTGATGATGCACATTTCGATATTTATATTTATAATAAATATATTTATATATGAAATGAGTGTTTTGACTTAATTTACAAGTTCATTATTTAACATTTAAAATCGGACCCCCCTGAAAGAAATTCCTAGATCCGTCACTGGGTATTTGATTATTTTTTCTTTTAGTTTTTTCAGTTTATTTTTTAAGGATACCAAACTAATTAATGCATGAAATTAATTAGTTATAATCTTATATGGTATTGTATGTCTTGTGTATTAAATATGATATATTAAATTCTTTAATGGACATGGAATGAATTCTAATTAAGCCACAACTTGACTTGCCAAACCAATCTATTTCCAAATTCCTCAACCTTAATTTTTATATAAAAAAAGCTCCACTAATAATTTAGAATCCAACTGCTTAAAGTATGATATGATTATTTACACCGAATAAAATATGTTGCCGTAATAAGACTTAGTATATTTGTTGTTTGTGAATATCAAAAAGACGGCTTAAGGAGAATGAAGAAAACGAAACAAAAATCAAAGTCGAGGCACTTAATACTTACGTTCTCCTTAAGACGAAATTACCCCGTAAAATACTCACGGTTAACAGCAAACGGCTCCAAAATACAACGACTTTCGACTTGTATATAGTGGTACTTCATATATACAAGCCTTCGGCGAACACTACTATTGTTTGGAACTCTCAAGACTCAATGAAAAAATCAAAGGACGCAATATGCTATATGATCTTTGAAAAGTAATGCAAGAGCTCCCTAATTTTCATCATATTAATGATTTCAAGTATGTGGGTATTTATAGATATAGGGAAACACCTCCAAGAAGTTTAAGTGTCAAAAGACACCTTTTGGGACGTGCCCAAACGAGAACGGATGCATCTAGTGGCCAAAAGATACCTTATGGTCACCAAAGGTTGCGACCCTTTGATTACCGCAGCCAGTTGCGCGCCCGTGCGCCGCGGGCTCGTATGAGCTAATACGGACTCGGAATCGAGTTCCATTTTTTCCTACTTGTCCCCAACGAGCCCTTTTACAATTCTAGCATACATAATGCATAATTATGGCTCGTTTAGTTCGTCCAAACATTTATCAAAACAGAATATTTGTGAACCTTACAACCTTTGAGTTATTTAAACTCAATTAATTAACATATAACACTTAAAATTAGTTTCTCATCCACCTTAAAAAGGTTTTCAGAATTTCCTAAGTCTTCTACTTACGAAAAGTAGAATCCTTAAATCGGTACAAAATCAATTTTTTCTTACATACATAAAAACATGGAATTTCCTGCACAACACAGTACTTCAGATATTTTTCATTCTCTCAATAACTCCTCAAATTCGCAATTAACTGAAATCAAAAAAAGTAAACAATACTACTAACTCTAAACAGTATTATCCGGAACATCGGGTTCCAGTTCGGAGTTCAGATCCAAACCCGGTTTCCGCTTCGCTCCCGAGCCATCCGGGCTTTTCACAACCCCGTCAAATCCAGCCGGCCGAGGCATCGCCGTCAAATCCCGGTGACCGCCGTTACGCCCCTTGAAGTACTTGACGGCGACGTGAATCCGCCTCAGTATTGCAAAGAACTCCTCCACCTCCTCATCCTCCGGCTGGGACGCCGACGCGTGCGCTCCTCCGCCGCCGCTGCCTTCCCGGGCCTCCCGCGTCTTGCCGTTAGCCTCGCCGTTATCCTCCCTCTTTCGCTTGTTCTCAAGCTCCATTTTTTAACGGCGACGATTAGAGAAAAATCAGAGGTTTTGAGATAGTACCCTTTTTTTTTTTCTTTCCTTTTTTGTGAATTTGTGGTGGGTATGTTTTGAGTTTTGACGAATTAGGTGTCGATTTATTTATAATTAATTTAAAGTATTATATTTTGGGTGAGGATCAGAGGTTGAGTGACGTCATGAAAAATGGAAAGCGTGACGTGTGATGGGTGACTCTCAATCTATACTTATATTAAAAGGTATACCATTTACCAGATTTAGTATAAAGAAAAGTCAACAACATTTATTGTATTACTATTTCCGTATTATACAATCTATACTTATATAAAAGGAGATTTTATTTACTATATTTACTATCCAGAAAAATAAACTGCATTAAATGTCATTACCATTTTGGTATTATAATATTTTATTTATTTAATTGATTCATTTATTTATTTTATTTTAAAAAGGTAAGTTTAATAAAAAAAATTTAATAATAAAAAAATCAAATACCAAATAAAAATGTACACTTTGACTTATTTGATTATATTTAGTATTTGATTACACCAAATATATTCCTATTTAGTATATACATTAAATACTTACAAAAGTATTTATTTGTTTTATTTGTCAAAGTTAAGTATAGATTTGTTTATATTATCAAATCATAAAAAAATATTAAATTCATATTGTAAAAAAAAAATCATATAATTTTATAACAATTTTACTACACTATTTAACAATATTTTTTATTATATAATAAAATAATAATTAAATATTATATGGTGAACAACAATAAATAAAAATGTTACTTTCTCTTATATCAAGGGATAAATTTATATGCTAAAATTAAATTTTTATTAGTATAAATGTTTTAGTGAGATAATATATTAATTATTTTACAAGCTAGCCCTAACATGCTCATATTTAATGTTTTAAAAGATGTAGAAAAAAAAATTTATAATAACTCTATTGTTTTTTAGACTTAAACGTTGATTAAAAGAGGTAAAAATTCCTAATTTTTTAGACTTAAACGTTGATTAACACCATAGATTGAGAGTTTATATTTAGTAAAATTCCTAATTGTAATAAAAAAAATTAATTTTTGCTATATTTTAGAATATCTTTAAATTCATTATAAAAAAAAAAACTACAATGAAAAAAGCAAGTCAGCTATATATCGATTTGTTGTACTCCTCAAATCACATTCACAATTTGGCTACAAGGAAAGGAAACTCATTGATTAAAATAATTTTTTTTTTCAGTAGTATTAATGTACAAGAGAATTTAAGACTCCACTTGAATATTATAAAACTTTTATTGAACATTGTACAATTTTATTGCGTATTATAAACTTTTATTGAATATTGCATCTTATAATATAATATTCTCCAAATAAATATATCTCGTGCTTTGCACGGGTCACGTACTATATATATCCCGTACATTTTTCTTTATTCATGTATATAATTATAAGCCTGGATAAATAGCCTTAAAATTGTGCACCCCGTGCATCGCACGGGCACTGTACTAATTCGTGTGAAAAGAAAAAGTTACTGTTTGTTTTTCTGCCAGAATATTAATGAATTCTGGAACATGTAATTAGTTTTTTGATAAATACGTAGTATTTAACCTCGTTAGCAGCACAACCGAGTTTGAGTCTACATTTTATGAGCTCGATGAACAGCTCAAGTATAATTGTATTTTACTTAAATGTCCCTAACTTGAGTTAAATTGGAGACATGCTCGAGCTTATTTCTAACCAAACTTGAAAAAGTCATTATTTGAATAACCATTTTTATCGAAATTCAGTGTTGAACTCAAGATTGATGAAGTCTGAATCAATCTTAAACATTTAAATACTTTTTATCTTAAAAGTCTTGTCTAACCAACCGGTTAGACAAGAAAAAACTGTTGAACCAACCGGTTTTTGGCCGGTTCGACCAGTTCGACAGACCATTGATCAGTTTTTGACCGATTTTGGCCACTACTGGTTTCTTCCATAGAACGGACCGGTGAACTGGCCGGTTCCCGGTTCAACCGGTCGGACCGGCCAGTTCGGTCCGGTTTTGACAACTATGGTTTCAACAGTAAAAAAATCAATTAAAATTCAAATTTAACTCAACTTTAACCCGTTTCCACTATCTCTAATATTATCAATATAATAAAATAATATAAACCAATCATTCTTACACATCATATCAACTTTAATTTACTATTCATCCACTCATATAATTTTAACTAATCATCACTTTCAATCATTTTTTTTCCTACTTTACATCAATCAACTTTATTATTTTATTTAAATATTAATTTAATATATCAACAAACAACTAACCATACCACCTTTTTTCAAAATTAACTATAATTAAAAACAAACCAAATAAAAATTAGTTGAATCCATAAATCATCACACCCTTAGTGATGATCTAACGTTTTAAATGACTTACATTATCAATTGAGCTTGCGTCAGGAAGGATCAATTGCATTACGTCATCAGTTAGGGTTAATTTTCTTTGGCATGGCCAGTCATTGTTTATGTAATTAATTAATAATTAGTATTCGATCATGTGCATTTGTACAGATATAAATGAAGTATTAAAAGTTATTCGTATGCATATAATATTAAAATTATAAGTTAGATAATGATATTATATTTTAAACATAGGCTATTGTAAGTTATATTTATACATATAATATTAAAATTATAAGTTAAATAAAGGTATTATATTTTAAAATTTGATCATTGATTAAAATAAATAGTACATAACGATTTGATTGTATATGAATCACTATATTGATCGCATTAAATAAAATAAATAATGTATTTTTTGGAATTTTAAGGGACTATGACTAATTAATTAGTTAAAAAATATTAAATTTATTATAACAATTGCTTATGCGATTTTAAGGAATTTTACTGTTCCATTAAAAAAATAATTTATTTAAAAACTAATCGCTTAAGCAGATAAAGATATATTGTATTGATTTTATAATAAATTACTCGAACAAAAAGGTTTTACAATATAGTTTCTTATGTTTATTTAACTTTCACATATCATTTAGTGTAAAATATAATTTTTAATTGTAATAATAATTATTATATGATACAATTTCTAGAGCTGGTGAATTTATTTTGTATTGTTGTTAGTGTATTTGTCCATGTTGTACATGTGCAGCATTTTCCATTTTCATCATGATTAATTATTGTAGTGATATCATAAAAAACAATAGATATTCCAAATAAACATTTATAAAAAGTTCTTTTAAAAATTTATATTCTGATTACATGCTTACATAATCATGAGTTTTTATAATAAATAATTCATAATTAAGTTTGCATAGTAATGATTATATAAGAAATTAAAAAAGTAAATATTTTTAGTTAATTAACCTAAATTGATATACTTAGATAAAATAGTAGTCATTAGTTTAGATTTTGTAACTGTCCAAAATTGATGTATTTTTTTAAAAGTAACGGTTTTTTTATTTGAAAAGTTTGTATTATTTATTAGGTAAAATTTATTAGGTTTTATTTATGAGGTAAAATTAAATGAAAGACTAGCAATTATATATATATAGATATAGATATAGATCGGCTAATTTTACGCCAAGGCCAAAAGAAAAATTATTGTTAATGAAATGCATGAAAAAATAACATAAAAGTGTTAAATGTAGTTGGCATGCCGAGAAATGTGGTACCTTGTCACCATAGGCTTTGTTAGGTGATATTTTTTTTTTTCTTTTTTCGGCCAAACAACAGATTTGATTACTACACATCGGAAGTACAAATCAATAATCAACGGATGACACTTGATAATTATTACTAGCCCATACTACAAAGAGAAATAAACATAGAAAAACACAACAAATGTTCTCCTATACGATCCACAACACTCCAAAAGGTCAATACCAACAAAAAATAACCACACTTATAAGACTATAAAATCAAGGAAGATTCAACAATAAATTATCATATAAAATAAAATTAAAAGAGAATAATGCAAAAGAATATGCAAAATAATTGATTTCTAAAATAAATTTATAGAATTTGTGTCCCAACTGTAATAAAAAAAACTGGTAAGTTGTAATGTAACTAACATGCCAGATTTGAACCATTCAGCATCAAATTAATAATTCTACAGGACTACATTAACTTAATTAATATATACATATTTGATTTCAAGGAAAAAAAAATGAGGATCAAGATATCAAATACACTTTACTGGAATTATTTGTGAAAATATGTTTGAAAGGGAAATGTGAAGTAAAGAGTAGAAAACATTGTTCTAGATGGACGAATGAAATATTTTGAAGATTTTAGATGCTTGAGTTGAAATATTTAATGTGATAAAAAAATAAATAAAATAATGAATGCAAATGATTAAATATTAAAAATATTGAAATTTATATATATATATATATATATATATAGGATGTGGTTCGAGAATCAAGTGTTAATGTGAAANTAAATGAATAATAATTTTTTAAAAAATATATTTAAGAATATGATAAATTGTTCAAATTTGGTAATAATAATACTCGTGTCAGGCTTTCACCCAAGTTTCAAATATTATCCGAATAAATAAAATTAAAAAAGAAAATAATATTATCGGAATAAAAAATTATATGTATTGTGTAGGGGGTAATTTTCTGAAAAAACATATCACATCAGGCTAAGGCTTGGGATGGACCAGTCCATAATCTATACGACCAGTCCATAATCTATACGGACCACACAGAGTACCCCCATTAACTGTACTCGAATGTCTTGAGCCCAATCAATGTAGTTCCTACACTATTCTTTTCTACAGGCCTAATTAATGGATCTGTCTTAAGCAGTTAAGCCCAACCAACGTAGCCTCCAAAGTCGAACTATGATGTCCTACAACAAATGAACCTTCTGTTACTAACAAAAGAATATTTAGTTAAAAATATAATGAACATTGCTTTTGATTAATAGGTCACCAGTTCGAGTCATTCAAGGGGGTAAGTGGAAAACCACTATTAATCCTCTAAAATTAAAGAAAAAAAAACATTCTCATTTTTGTGTTTTCGTGTCGTTTTGGTGTCTTGTGCTTTTTATTTCTCTTTTTACCTTTTATTTTGCAGGAATTTTCGTTCAGAGAGTCGTTGTAAAATCAACGGGAAATTTGCCGAAAAAGTCCCCGAAGTTTCTGGTAGGTCGCCTCGGCTAATGCCCGACGGACCCGCGCCTAGCACATTCCGCGCGCCTGCACACCCGCCCCCAATTGGTGGATTGGTACCAGACTTGCCATGAACTCCACCTTATGCTCAGGATCACTGTTTTAAATAGCTCGCTATATTGTTTCTTTTTTTTTTTTCAAAAAACGCGACATAGCTTTATATATTTAACATTTTTCTCGAAAAGCTTACGCAAAATGCTGAAATAACACGCTTTTTTATGTTATTTTATGCTATTTCACACTATTTTGCGTTACTTTGCGCTATATTTCTGCAACGACATTTAAACAATAAAATATTCAAAAAACTTGTATTTTGTAGTGACTAGGGTTACATTTTTTAATCACGACTAAAAATTAAAAAATTTGATAATGATCTCATATTAAAAGTTTTAAAATACAAAGTCCTAAGTTAAATCGTGCAATATATATCGGTCCAGATCTATTATATCATTATATTTTTAGTGGTTAGAATTAACTTGTAATTAAATTAAAAAAATTAATTACAATGTATAGGCTTAAAATTAAATTATGACTTATCTGATTATATTTTCGTTGTTTATTTTTACTTATTAGTATATTCGCTTTATTATTTAAATATTTATATTATAATATTTAGATTAAACATCTTTAAGAAATAATTCTTAGATGTTATTTTGAGTTCATTCAAATATTATGATAATTTTTATAATCAACCATCCAGTCTTAGATATTATATATATATAATATTTATATAAAAATAATTTTTAAAATTCAAATAGCTTACACAACACGCAACGCATTACGCTATACGCGTTTTAAAGCACTGCTCAGCATGCAGGGTTTAAGTCTGGGGAAGGGTAAAAAACCACAGAATGCCCCAAGATGCATTTTCACCTTAGGGCAAGAGCACTGTGGAAGACCGTGAGTCCCCGGGCACCCCATGAGGGTAATGAAAGAGAGAGAATAATAAATTAGCAATGCCAAAGTCAACAAGTCGAGTCATCCTAACATGACTAAAATCATCCGCAATTGAAGAGGGCACCTTGCAATTCTAAAAGATCAACTAAGAGCATCCACAATGCTTTGGGTCTCTTTTGGTATATGTGGCATATAATTGGACTTGAGTTTTAAATGACATGGACAAGCCCAACTAAAAAAACTCAAAAACTTTGCAATGCAAAATAAAAATACTAGGTCTAGCATACATGCCAACCAATAAAAATGCTCTAATATGTTTTATTCATTAAAAGAAAAATTTAATTAAGAACAAATGATGAGTGTTTGGATTTGTACTTGGGTCCAAAATAGACCCAAGTGTGGACTTAGTCTCTTTTTTTCATTGCCACATAAGCTAGACCATGTCCACTTTTAATTGCATTGGTAAGTATTTTTTTATAGACTAAGTCTATTTTCCATGTGGCATATGATTTTTTGTTAAGAGACCCAAAACATTGTGGTTGCTCTAATTCTTTTTTACAATTAGCTAAATTTGCAAATTATCATTTACTTCAGCAACCACTTACTTTCATTTACCGAACCTCTAAATTATTAAACCATTATCTCATCAGTGCCTCGATTGGGAATTGCAGAGCAAGAGGCACGAAAAAGAAGAAACAACTGGCAACAATAGCCAGCAATAGTAATAAATAAATGCTCTACAAGAGACAACATAATATTAATCCACCAATCAATCTCCAACAAGACCACATTTAATCTAATATACGGTACACAAACCAATAGGACCAAAATATCACCTCCCTCGGGACCCTAAACAAATTACAATTATTAAATAAATAGAGTTTGATGAAAATTGGGAACCAAATCAAGAATTCACATGTCACATGTAAATGCAAAGCAGAATGAAGGTCACAAAATCATGCCAGCCTCATCCATATTCACATGTTGTATCCTATGCATTTGTGCCAAACCCCTGTCAATATATACCCTAACAAACTCTGTGCCATAGGTGCCTTTTAACACCAATTACAATCATGTCATTCTCAATTTTTTCTTCTTCTTCTCCTCCTCCATTATTATCACTATTGTCCCCTTTGCTAAGGTTTTTCCTAGGGTTTTTGGTGTTATGCATAGCTTTTGGTGGTACAACTACCGTTCCGACTAAAATTGGGAAAGGTTACACCTTGACCTCCATTGAAAAATCCCCAAACGGTGGGCTTTTGGGCCTCCTCCAAGTGAAGGAGAAAAACAGCATTTATGGCCCTGACATTCCCCTCTTGCAGCTCTATGTGAAGTGAGTTTTTGTTTCTCGTGATGTTCAGCTTTTGGCNAAGTAACAAAGAATCAAATCAAAATTTACTGCTAAAACTTGAGAAATTTGTGCATTTTTTTCCCCTTTTCTACAGGCATGAAACGGATAACCGGCTAAGGGTACACATCACAGACGCCACCAAACAGAGATGGGAAGTTTCGTACAATCTCCTCCCCAGAGAAAATCCCCCTTCTCCCAAACAAGCCCTTACCGGAAACAAATCCAGAAAGGACTCCAACGTCAAGCCCCCCTCCTCATCGGAATACGTCGGGAAGGACCTTGTCTTCGCCTACAAATCCGACCCGTTCACCTTCTCCGTCCGGCGGAAATCGGACGGCCAGATCCTGTTCGACACCGAATCGGGCGGATCCGACCCGTACGGCGACATGGTGTTCAAGGACCAGTATCTGGAGCTGTCCACGAGGCTGCCTAAGGACGCATCGCTGTACGGGCTGGGCGAGAACTCGCAGCCGCAGGGGATTAAGATCCGGCCGAACGATCCGTACACGCTGTACACGATGGACGTGTCGGCCATCAATCTGAACACGGATCTGTACGGGTCGCACCCAGTGTACATGGACCTGAGGAACGTCGGCGGGAAGGCCTACGCGCACGCGGTGCTGCTGCTCAACAGCAACGGGATGGACGTGTTCTACAGGGGGGACTCGCTGACGTACAAGGTGATTGGGGGCGTTTTCGACCTTTTCTTCTTCTCGGGGCCGACGCCGCTCGCCGTTGTGGATCAGTACACGGAGCTCATTGGCCGGCCGGCAGCTATGCCGTACTGGGCTTTCGGTGAGTTTCCGAGAATTCCCTTCCTCTTTTTTTTTTTTAATTAGGTTCATTCATGGTTATTTTGGGCTCCAAAGGTGTTTGTTATTCACTGTGGTGACATTTTTTGGGGACGATCTGAACAGTTAACAAGAAGAATAATAATTTTGCAATAGTGCAAATGCACAAAAATGGGGAAAACGTTGGATCAATATAGGTATGATCCAACGGCTAAAAAATGGACAGTAAAGTGGGTAGGTGTGTGTGGTCGAATTTTGCCCAAAAATTGGACCACGAAAATTGGTATAATAAATACAACAGTTTATAGTGGGAGCACTACTTCTCGCCAGTAGCCACATTTGAGAACTCACAAGTGTAGAAGATATTATTTCTGTTTTCTTTTCAACTATTTTTATCAATTTAGTCGATGATTGAGAGCACTTTTTCAAATATGGGGCTTTTTGTCCAGCTGTTATTACGATTTTCGTCCTGGTGAGTTGAAAACAGCTTAGAAAATTTTCAACTGCAGGCCCACTCGTTCATATTAAATTGCATCTTTACCCAAGTTAAAAGTCGCAAAATGTCATATCGGGAAATAAAAAGGAAATCTCGAGTTGATTTTTAAAATCATAAAGGCCCACATAGAAGAAGCACGCGTTTCAATCAAACATAATTGCTTTTGTTTTCTTTCTCTCTTTACCTTTCCCTCGTGAAGTGTTATCTACCATAAAATATAGTCAGGATTGGTTCTACGAGGCATCTCTGATTGCTATTGAAAAGCCCAATTGAAAAATATTTCTCTAATCTTACCTTTTCTTGATAATATACACAGTCCTGTCTGGTCCTCTTTAGACATTATTATTACTATTAAATTGGCATCATTTACTTCACCAGTATACTCGCCTAACTCAGGCTCGATTGTAACAATAGACACTGCATTGCCTAATGTGAGCCAATGTAAAATGTTGTTCATGTAATAGATTGCATTTAGAGTATTTTGCAAAAGACTTATGCCAATCAATCCACAGGCTTCCACCAATGTAGATGGGGTTATCGCAACCTATCCGTAGTCGAGGACGTGGTCGAAAATTACCAAAACGCCCGAATCCCTCTCGACGTGATATGGAACGACGACGACCACATGGACGGCCACAAGGACTTCACCCTCAACCCGGTCAACTACCCTCGCCCGAAACTCCTCTCCTTCCTCGACAAAATCCACGCGCGCGGCATGAAATACATCGTCATAATCGACCCAGGCATCGGCGTCAACTCCACCTACGGCGTCTACAACCGCGGCCTGGCCCGCGATGTCTTCATCAAGTACGCGGGCCGCCCTTTCCTAGCCCAAGTATGGCCCGGCCCAGTTAACTTCCCGGACTTCCTCAACCCCACCACCGCCGACTGGTGGGCCGACGAGATCCGCCGCTTCCATGCCCTCGTCCCTGTCGACGGGCTCTGGATCGACATGAACGAGGCCTCGAACTTCTGTTCGGGCCTCTGCACTATCCCGGAAGGCCGGATTTGCCCTAACGGAACTGGGCCTGGCTGGGTTTGCTGCCTCGACTGCACCAACATCACTAGCACGAGGTGGGACGACCCGCCGTACAAAATCAACGCCTCCGGAATACAAGCGCCGATCGGGTACAAGACCATAGCCACGAGCGCGTACCATTATAACGGCGTCTTGGAATACGACGCGCATAGTTTATACGGTTTTTCGCAGTCGATCGCGACGCACAAAGCTCTGAGAGGGCTCGAGGGGAAACGGCCTTTTATCTTGTCGCGCTCGACTTACGTGGGATCTGGCAAGTACGTGGCCCATTGGACGGGGGACAACAAGGGGACATGGGAGGATTTGAGGTACTCGATCTCGACCGTGCTTAACTTCGGGTTGTTCGGTGTACCGATGGTTGGATCCGATATATGTGGGTTTTACCCTGCACCGACTGAGGAGCTCTGCAACCGTTGGATCGAGGTTGGGGCTTTCTACCCGTTTTCGCGGGACCATGCGAACTTCTACTCCCCGAGGCAAGAGCTTTACCAGTGGGCCTCGGTAGCCGAGTCGGCCCGAAACGCTCTAGGCATGAGGTACAAGCTATTGCCCTACTTCTACACGTTGAGTTACGAGGCGCACATGACCGGGGCCCCGATCGCTCGTCCCCTGTTCTTCACGTTCACGGACGAGCCCGAGTTATACGGGTTGAGCACGCAGTTTTTGATCGGGAAAAGCGTTATGGTGTCCCCGGTGCTAGAACCGAACAAGACTGAGGTTCGGGCCTTGTTCCCGCGCGGTACGTGGTACGATATGTTTGATATGACAAGGGTGGTTTTTTCGAAAGAAACACGTTACGTTATGCTAGATGCACCGTTGCACGCGATAAACGTGCATTTGTATGAGAGCACGATAGTACCGATGCAGAGGGGCGGGTTGATATCGAAGGAGGCGAGAATGACGCCTTTTACCCTTGTGGTCGCGTTTCCGATGGGAGCGGACGGGGGAAAGGCGAAGGGGAATTTGTTTCTGGACGAGGATGAGCTTCCGGAGATGAGGCTCGGGAACGGGCGCTCGACTTACGTCGAGTTTCACGCGAAAGTTAGTGATGGGACGGTGAAGGTGTGGTCGGAGGTGGAGGAGAGCGAGTATGCATTGGAGAAAGGGTGGATTGTCGAGCGGGTGATCGTGCTCGGGTTGAGTGGGACGGGGGCCGGGAGTGGGGTCGAGATCGAAGTTGACGAGAAAGCGGTTAATAACGGTGGTTCGAAGGTGGAAATGAGTGCAAAGAGGCATGAGCATTTGGTGGAGTTGGGGGAGGATGAAGGGGAGAGGAGGAGTAGTGTGATGGTTGAGATCAAGGGGCTTGAATTGGCTCTGGGGAAGAAATTTTCTCTGTCTTGGAAAATGGGGATCAGTGGTTGAATTTGAGATTTTGTTTTTGTGGGGGAGTTGCTATTTGTTGTTTGTGGGGTTTTGTTTTGGTGTATCCATTTTCTGGGCTCATTTAGAGGTAAAATCTTGGCAATTTTTGGAAAGTTAAAAGAATGTTTTGAGTGTTGATGATGGAGGCTTTGAATGGGCAGGAGATGTTTTATTATGACTCTTTTTATTCATCCCTGTCATTCAAAGCTAGGCAAAAGTGTCTGTTGTCTTTATGGTTGAACGAATTGAGTGAGTTTGGGGAAACTATTGAAGAATAAAATGAAATTCAAATTGGTGCGACACCGTGATTAGATCAATATATATATATTTTTTTATAATACTCGACCAACAAATAAATCCCTAAAAATAATATCTGTTCTTACAGTATATGTGGCAGTCGTGGTTTGGCAAAGCGATCGTGATATTAGCGGGAAAAAGGACTTCTTGGGCCCAGCCCATTAAAGAGTATTTGGAAGGAAGAAGAATCAAGCCCAGCCCACTCACCGGCACTGGCCACACCTTTTTGTCCCGCTCAAAATAAGAAAAAAGAAAATATTTTTGCTCGTGTGATGTACGAGTTGTAATGATATACTCTATAAATTAAATTAGTTAATGAATATTGACTAATATGATAATACTATTTAGTGCTAATTTTTACATTTTCTTACTTTTTATTTTAAATGAAATATAATAGTTTAACTTCAATTTAGACGTATAATCTACCTGTTATAAATAAATGTTATGTCAGAATTAGTGCATGAGAGAGAGAGAGGAGAATCAAAATGCAGGAGCAGAGAAAGAAGAAAAGGGGAGATACATCAATTCGAATGAATGAACAGTAAACATTAGGGTTTGTGAACATGTATTTATAGTACAAGTTATAACTAAAAGTGCTGAAGGAAAATAATGCCAAAACTGTTAATGTTTCTAACAATTTTTCCTATTACAATGATTACTTACATATGTTGATACACAGGTGCTGAAATGCAGGCCCTAGTAAGCAAAGACTGATCTAGAAATTAAGAGTATACTGAGCTATAATTTTAAAAAACTCATCATAAAAACCACAAAATATTTTTTCTTCAAATACGTGCTCGACGAGCTTTTACAGAATAAAATTAATGATGCTCATTTTGTACCGTATTTGATGTGCTTTCACTAGTTTGACGATCTCATTTTCTAAAGAACGTTGGTATCAATGGGGCTTTTTATTTTTTTGCCGAAGGTTGATGGTCCATGTAAATTTCTAGAAATTCCACAATACCAATAAATTGATTTTTTCCATATGACATAGTTATTAGCAAAATAAAATGCTACACAATGATGGTAACCATTGAATTTCACATGTAGTAAAGGCTAGCGCCTATACTCAGCCTCAACAGAGAATTTACTTAATGTAGATTGTTTCGTAGATTTTCAAGATATAAGAGAATTGCCAAGAAAAATTAGATAACCTGTCGCACTTTTTCTTGTATCAACACATTCATTATTAATGCTCCTTGGCTCCCAAAAGCTAAGAATTTTATTCCTTCCTTACAATTTCAGAGAGATAGGGAGAGAGCTAGAAAGGTGAGTGATCTTTTTCTGGAAAACACAAGAGAGTGGGATGTAGATCTGGTGTATCAAACTTTTTTACCTGAGGAGGCTGAACAGGTTCTTAAAATCCCTATCAGTCAGGCAGGGTCTTTTGACAAACTGGTGTGGCATTGGAATATGAAAGGGATGTTTAAGGTCAAAGAAGTATACATGTTCCTGATGAAACAGCAGATTCTGAATCAAGGGACACCAAGCACAAGTTCTGGTGACAGCCTTATGAAGAGCATCTGGAGGAAGACATGGAAGCTCCCCGTGAAGAACAAGGTTAGAAATTTTATTTGGAGATGCTGGTATGGATACTTGAGTACTAATGATCAGTTGACCAAAAGGAAATTGCCTGTGGATAGGATCTGTGGTATGTGTGGGGAGATGGAGGAAAATTTGGAGCATATACTGTTCAACTGCAAGAGGGCAGTTACTTGTTGGAAAATCAGTGGGCTGCAGTGGGTGCATTTTGGTAGGAAGAATTGGTCTTTTAGGGATTGGTGGGGAGACTTATGTTTGGGGAAGGGAAATGAGTGTTACCAGGATAGGGTTAATCTCTCCACTTACCTATTATGGTGGTTGTGGAAAACTAGGAATGCTTGGGTGTTTAACAGAAATAGGAGCAGGGAGAAAGAGGTGGTGGATGGAGCTTGGAAAGAATGGAGAGAGTTTGAGGACAGTGCAGCAGGACGATTAGGGGAGAGGGGGAGGAATGGTGACAGTCTAGGCTCTTCTGGTAGAGGGGTAGGACAGTTATGGTTAACTGTCAGTGCCTCATTATTCACAGAAGATAAGATTGGATTTGGAGCTGTGGTTGAAGATGATAGAGGCATTAAACACTGTTGGAAAGAATGTTCTGAACAGGCCACTAATGATGAGGAAGCATCACTCAAAGCAGTCAGATGGGGATTAACAAAGCTGAAGGAGACAGGTTATACTCAGGAGGTATGTTGCTATGTCAATTCCTATACCATAGCTCGAGTCCTGAATCAACTGGAAGAGATACAAGAGGCAAATGTGGCTGTCAGAGATGATATTCAAACTAGTGCAACATCATTTTCTAATTGCTCTTTTGTGTATGATAATGTAGTTTGTTTTAATTCGTTTTCTCTTGCCTTGGAGGCTGTCCAGGAAGATTAGTATTAATCTTTCATAGCTTGTAGTTTCTTCAGTTTGTTGGAGTGACTTGTAAGCTCGCACTTATTTAGGTGCTCCGGTGTATGAACTTCTATTTGTGAGTTTTTTATGTTATTGTCGTTGTTGAAAAAAAAAAAAAGAAACACATTCATTATTATTAATTAACTGATGTTCAGCTCTATCAAGCCGAGCCCTCTCAATTGTAAATGAGACTTACTCGTGCCATTTAAGTTGGGCCATCCAGCCCATTTTCAATCACTTACCACTCTATTTAAACAATCATACCAGACATCTATGTTTACCTCAATTGGAATCGAGCCACATCCAACTCATAAAACGATATGTGAAACAAACTCGTTTCAAATTGGGCTGTCAAATTAAATTCTAACCATTTTCTCAATTGACAATGCATGATGATCATTTATTAGTTTTTAACAATACGCTCGTAATTCAATTTAAAACCAAATCTTGAATGTACACATACGTATAGTTTATGCGTTATGCATTGGCGTTGCATGTCTTGTTTTGCTTAATGTTAACAAATGCGCCCTTAGCTCAATTTAAAACCAAATTTTGAATGTACACATACCTACATAACTGTCGCTTATGTGTTATGCATTGGTGTTGCATATCTTGTTTTGCTATTAGGTTTGATAAGCTTATGTTTTGTGGACAAGAATCAAAGACATAATCAAACAATAACTAAATGTATCCAAGCATTATCTTGCACTATTATGTGGCCGAAGTCCTTAAAAGCAAATCAATTTATTTATTTTTTAGAAAATAATTACCCATTTATTAATATATAAAAAAGTTAGAATTATTAATATATAAAAAAGTTAAGAATTTACTACAAATAGTGTAAAATGTCACACCAAATTTTTTTATAATAACTAATACGTAGCATGTGCACAATGCACAAGATACGGATGTTAAATAGTAAGTTCGAAGCGTCTTTTGTTAAATAGTAGATTGGATTATCTATAGTTTCTACATGTCTTATTGAGTGTTAATTTATTTATTTTTCCGGACCTTAAATTTGAGTCCGTTAGTATTAGTTTGTAGGTTAATCAATATATTAGCTTGCAACTCATTTGGATTAATATAATTAATATTTCAATACATATATTTATTTCTCGATATAAGGAACAGTAATAGTTTTACTTATTTTTGTTCACCATATAACTCAACAATTATTTTACTCTAAAATTTAATTAAGTTCATATAATGTCACTATATTAACTAAAAAAATATAGAAGTAGTAGTCTTCTTTTATGTATTTTTCCAGATTTTCTTATGCTATTGTGCAAATACTGAAATCTCGTAGCCATATATTTTTATTTTTTTTTAATATTGTCTTCTTTTTTAAAAGAATTTTTAATAGTTTGATTATTTATTGAATTGACTTTAACAATCAATTATATAACTAAATACAAATTTTACAATTATAGAAACAATATTTTTCCATAAACTCTATAAACTTTCTATAAATGCATAAACTTAACAAAAACGTGTGTAAAAGAAAATGACAATAGTAAAAATATAAATATCACACTAAAATAATCACCTCGTGTAATCTACCAAAATGAGTAATATTTATGCCACACAACTGAAACCATATTCTTTAATAATTGACTTCTTTTTTTTTCAAACCTATTAACTCAATCCACATACAACAAAAAGAAATTGCTTCGAATTATTCCTTCGATCAATTTATAAACTCAATCCACATACAACAAAACGAAATTGCTTCGAATTATTCTTTCGATCAATTTATAAAAAAATCGAAGGAAAAAAAAAGATTTTTGAAAAAAAAAGTAATATTTTTAAAATTGTGATAAAATAAAAAAATATATCTCTAATCCCAAGTTTGCTATGGAGCATGGCCATTCACAATTATTTATAAATATTGTATTGATATGTATCAAAATATAAATATAATTGGGACAACTGTCAATGCATCCGAGTCATTCTCTAATCTTATAGAATCATTTCCTAATTTCATAGAATTTTCGATAGTTTAGAAGTCCTTTCACTGAAGACTCCAGCATATAACAGGAAGTTCCAAATTTTTAAATCCATCAACAGATTTATACAAATTTAACATGTAATTATAAATTTACCATACAAAATACAGAAAATAACAAATTTGCATAAAAGGAGTTGGATGAGCAGAATTGGATTTTTCTAATTATTTTTCACCAACCATTGCTTGGCTTGGGCTGGCCATGGCGCATGACATACACGAGAGAGATGTCATCTCCAGCTCATAATGTAATTAAGTCCCTAACCCAATTTATGCGACGCCAAATCTGTAAAACATGCTATATATACCCATCCATCATACATCATTTCATATGTACCCATCACTTTCTTTTGACCACCATAACAAAAAATAAAATAAAATAAAAATTTTCGAGGCCAAATAAAGTGTTTGTAGTCTTTAGAGAAACCAAATAAAAGGTATACTCAATATACAAAGATGTTGCATTTTTTGTTGATTGATTTGTTTGGATTATAAGGAAAAAAAAATACCAATTTATTTTGTTTTTGCTGTAATTTTTTTTGATTCACGTTTCTTGTTCTTGATTTTGCGTTTTTTGTCAGTCGAGTTGATGCTGTCTTTTTAGCGAGTCTAATTCGGGTTGTTGTTGTTCACATAAGCCATAAACTTCGTTTTCTCAGAAAATAAACCGGAGCCCAAATCTGNATTTTTTTTGCACTTTTTTTTTTTTAAAATTTTTTAACAGAAAAAAAAAGAAAAAGTAAAAATATAAATATTTGACAGTCCACTTTTTTGGAGTCTACAATTTAACACACACAACCACCACAGAGTCCAGAGTTTTTAGCCTTTTTTCTTGCTACATTCAGTAGAGAACTGAACTGGTCTATGACATGTTAATTTTCTGCAAATATAAATAATTATTTTGTTTCACCTTTTTCCTGTGTTGTTTATTTATTTAATTTCCTTTTTCATATTTCCTTTCCCCTTTTCCCTCTGAAGCGTGGAGACGACGACGATTGGAGCAAGAGAGTATCTTTTATGTCGGCTAGTTTTGATTTGGGCGTCGAATTTGGGTCTCCATTGTTGAAAAGCTGTTTCCAATCTTCATCTTCAACGTCGTCGTTTTCTGGTCACTGCATGCAATTGGGCCTCTGCTGTGCTCTCCAGCAGAGAACTCTGTTTTTCTCCCCAGCTGTTTCGATGCGTTTGAGGCCCAAAAGGTAAATTCCTTATTTATTATTTATTTATTTTAATATCAACATATATCCAGTGATTGTAATCTGCTGCATTTTGGTTCTGATTATGATGATATAATTTTTTTTCCTAAAATAAAATATTCTGGGCATTGCAGGACTTGTTCTGGAGTAAAGTGTTTTGGTGTTTATCACATAAATCGATTAATTAGCCTATTCTTGTTCTTGAGAAATAGTAATACGTTCGTTTAAGGAAAAAAAATCTTATAAAAAGAACCAAATCATTCTTTAATTGATTTGTTCTGGGGATAGAGAGAGAAAAAAAGAAGAAGATTCTATGCCTGAGCCGCGAAAACAGATTCCATTGAACCAGCCAACAATGAGCCGAAAAATTCGGGCCAAGCCCGAACCCGCCCGACCCATGAAAAAGATCCGCATAATCTGCAACGACCCCGACGCCACCGACTCATCTGACGAAGAACAGCAGGCCCACGTGGGCCAAAAGAAGGTCAAACGGATGGTCCACCAGATTTCCTTCCCTATCCCCCATCCGGGCCCACCTGGAAAGAAGAAATTGAGGAGAAGCCTCGTCAAAAAGACGGTTTTGCCCCCGGAGGCCTCGAGCAAGTTTCGCGGGGTCCGCATGCGCAAGTGGGGCAAGTTTGCGGCCGAGATCCGCGACCCGATCAAGCACAAGCGCATATGGCTAGGCACTTACAGCACCGCCGAGGAAGCCTCCCGAGCTTACGAGCTCAAGCGGGTCGAGTTCGAGACCCTGGCCCGCTCGCCACTTGTCACGATTTGCTCTACGAGTGTGAACAAGCCACAAAACGAGGTCGCCTGCGTGTCCGATGGCTCGAGCGCGAGTCGCGAGTCGATTATCTCCCGATCCTCACCGTCGTCCGTGTTAGAATTGGATTGCATGACTTTGGGTTTGGGTAACGATAAAGTCAAATTACAAATCACGACGAACGATGATAATATCGTAAATTTAACTGAAAATGATAATAATAATGATAATGCGAATCACTGGTTGGTTGGGGAATTTGAAAACGAGGAGGTCAGTTTGGCGATTGAGCAAAATACCGATCACGGTGTGGTTTGGGAGTTCGAGAATGGGGAGGGCAATTTGGTCATTATTCCCAGTGTTGATAATGAGCCGATCGAGGAATTCGAGGATGGAGAGGAAAACTTGGCGATTATGCCAAATGTCGATAACGGGACTATCGGGGAATTCGAGAATGGGGAAGGTAATTCGGTCATTGGTCGAAAGCCAGAGAATTGGGGAGTGATTGACGATGATTTGGTAGAGTTGGCATGGATGGGGGGAATTGTGGACAAGCACGTCGGGCTCGATGCACCTTTACCGATGGATGATTTCGATGTGGGCCCATTGCAGCAGAGTGAGATCAACATTGATTTCCCCCCAATTAGTGACGTGGAATTTGTGGGCCAGTTGAGCGGGTTGCAGGATTTCGACTCGTTTTTTGAATTCGAAGCGTGGAGTGAAGGGCTCTCTTGGTAGGATGGAGGGGCGCAAATACATAAAGTGATATGACATGATGTGATAAACGTATTAAAGAAAAAGTTAGTAGTATTTGAGTTATTTTATGTTTCTCTTTGGGTTGGGTAGATTTTGTGACTTGTGAGGAGTTATTTTATGTTTCTTGAGCTATTTGAATTGTCCTAAGATGGGTCTATTAGGTCTTGATTGATGGAGTGTGAGTCTTGGTTGTTTAAATGTTATTGTCGTGTTTGATTTTATTTAAATTTGAGATAATATGAACTACATATTTCAGTAAATCAAAGTGATAGTAGCTTATATTATTATGATTCTGATTGAAGGTTGCACAAATTTTCCTAAGTTCTATCCCGACATTGTTTTATAGCAACATCTTTGACCTATTTCTCGCGGGCGATGGGTTCTAGTCAGGTCCCGCCTCATCTTTGACCTATTTCTCGCGGGCGTTTGACCAATTTAAATTCATATTTCACCATATTTTCATAAAATCACTTTCTTGACAATATTCAATCAATTATTTATTAAAGAGCAAAGAAAACAACATTCATCATAGTTTAATAAATTCAATAAAATGAGTAAAAATATATGAAAGACTAATACAATACTAACACGAGAATCAATCTAAAATATACGTAAAAATAGCGTATGTCACACATATAATTGTGATACTGCCATAATCACGTATCAATGTGTCATTTACCCAATGGAGTTAGATATGATTTGAAATGTAATTTTGGAATAGACGAGAATTGCCATTTTATGTTAATAATTTTGGAATATTCTTATAATTGTGATACTATCATGATTTTATCGCTACTGACTTTCAATAACCAAAATAATAATGACTCCAGTTGAGAGCCAACTAGACGAACAAAACAAATGATGCAAGTTATTTCTTGAAACCTTGATAGGGTTGGAGTATTTTATCTATTTATACGTTATGTTATGTATACAACTATATCGTTGTCATTGTAATTAATGAATTTAACCCTAATCAAAATCTAATTGCACAATTTTTGTTAGTAGCTTGTTAGCAGAATAAAAAATCTATTTTTCTAGAAAATGGATTAAATCTCAAATGAGCGTTAGATAATTGACAAATCTGTTAATTTCTTAATATGCAGTTCAGCATCCCGATTACATATTGTTGCCAGTCATAAGGCAAAATTCAATTTTTTAAAAGATGAAGGACCAATTACCAAAAGTGGTCAATTTATAGGACCAAATCCAAAGTTGAGATCAAAT